TTTCGGGGAACAGGCGTGAACTAAGGGTCCTAAACCCTAAACCTTAAAAACTGTTTTGCGCAAACCCTAAAGCCTAAATAGCTTTTAGGGTTTAAGGCGCTTAGTGTACGCCTGTTTCGGGGAACGGGCGTGGACTAAGGGTTCTAAACCCTAATAATCGCAAGGCGTCAAGGTCTTTATTGAATACCTTGTCGTTTGTTTCCTGGGCTGTCCAAACTTGTCCTGCAGAAAAGAATAAAGCGGGCCTAGACACGCATACTTCTGGTCTAGCCCCTTCAGCTGCTTCACATTCTGCACAAAGCAGGTGACCAAATCCTGAAACTGGGCATCGAAGGTCTTTTGAAAAGCCAGAGATTTGCTGTGGGCATCTGAAGAGATCTTTTCCATGAGGCTGTTGTCAATGGAACACGACTTGAGATACAAAGGCAAAGCAGCAACAAGACCAGACCAGCCATTCGCGATCTCTGGCAAATTTTTGGCAGCAAGCACCATGTGGCATGTAGAGCCGCACGAAGCCAAAAAAGGAGTTGGCCTTCGGACGATGCGCCGCATCTTTTGTACGAAGTCATCCACTGACATGTCGGCAGTGGCCATTGCATCTTCGAACCACTTCAGCCCCACTCGGTCAAGGATTTTGGTCAACCGCTCACAAAGTCCGCTGTGGACTTGATAGGCAATGCGCGATGGTGAGTCTGAAGGAGCATTCTTGTCAAACTTCAGGTTCTGAAGGTGGAAGAGAAGTGGAGTTGCAATCTGGAGAACGGTCTCAGAGCCCAGAGAGTCATCTCCAACCTTGTCGCACTCCTTCATGAAATCCAGCAAGATGTGGAGCAATTCAAACAAGTTCTCGACACAGAGATCAACCTGCTCGTGCAACATCTTGGATATGAGACTCGCAGTCCGCAGCCCACGCAGCAAGCGATCACCTTCCTGGAGTGGCTGGCACCGAATTGCGGAATGCAAAGGTTCGGATTCGTTGGATGTCCAAAGTCCTCTCATTGAGCCAAAGGATCTAAAAATTGAAACATCATGTCATTGTCTATTAAAGCAAAAATACGCATCAACAAAAGTTCAATACTTTGTTTTTGTTTGGGCGTCCAGAGTCCTGCAAGCCATGCGCTAAGAGCCTCCATATCCTTGGAACCACGGTCGGTGATGTGGGACTCCAGATCTTGGACTGCCTTGAAGAGCTTCTCAGACAGGGCAACAGCATCCGTGGTGCCCACACCCTTCAAATCCTCAGCCTCACACTTGAAGGTGCTGGCCACTTTTTCAAAGGCTTCAAGGAGTTCATCGCTTTGGACCTGAGGAAGCTCTTCTTTGGGACCGGCAGACGCTTCACCAAAAATACCTCCAATCAGCTGGAGGTGTTTCTCGGCTTCTTTGCAAAGCAAGGCAGAATCCAACACATTCTTGCCCTGCTCGACGGCATTCTGCCACAGCCGCTTCAGCACATTGGACTGGCGGACTGCCAAGCATGCTCGAGAACTGTAGCTTGTGCTGGAAGTGGCATCCTTCAAAAATTTTCTGGCGGAATTCGGGAGTGCAGTCTTGTTGCACTCTGCGTTCCCGACAGTCCAGCATGCAATCAAGCGGTGGATGTCAAGCAGGAGCTGTGATGAGAACCCAGAGTCATTGGTATGGGCCGTTTCAACGAAGTCGATGGTCGGAGGTCCGGGTGGAATACGAAGACTGAATATCGCATCATCAGGCTCAGAAATCTGACTGAAGTACATGGAGTGGAAGCATGGCACAAAGGTCTCAAGCGTGGCATTGCGCTGAGTATCAAACCAATTGTGCACAATGGTCATCTGCGCCCGCAAAAGAATTTTGTCCACCCAATCAGAGATCCCAAAGAGGGAAGCAAAGGTGAAGAAACTCAAACAGGGCATGAAGTCCGCGCTCAAGCAAACCAGTTTCAGCAAGCGCTCAGATCTGGCCTGGCAACAACTGCAAAAATCATCTCGGTTTGATGATTGGTTGAGGTCGATGAATGACCCGTTGATCAAACTACAGGGCCTTAACCTAACAAACGCCAGCCGCTTCAACAACAACAACAACAACAACAACAACAACAACAACAACAACAACA